TATATATATATATATATATATATATAATAAATGAAGAGCAAATAGAAATATTTAAAATAAAACCAAACATCTAAAAAAAAAGACAAAAACACAAAATAATAAAAAGAAAATTAAGATATAAAAAATAAAACCAAATTTAAAATATTAACAAATAATTTTAATAGTATATAAATAATACTAAAATAACAATAATAGTATTATTTTAGTGTCATTGAGATACTATTATAGTTTATTTTATAATTTAAATTATTTTTGTATATCCTGTTTTCCTATTAGTTTTAAAGTTTTAGTAACTTTGTTGTGTTTTTGTAATTTTTATAGGTCTACATAGTTTTTTATTACTGTTTATTTCAGTTTTAGTTATTTTACTACATGTTAAACTAAATGATAATGCCAAATGTTGCTTTGGCAGCTAACTTAAAATGAAAAAATTAAGTTTTTAAAAATATTTTATTTCAGTTATTGTTTATTTTATTTCAAGTAAAGAAAATTATGTTTTTATGGTTTTAGATTGAATGAACTATAATAACCCTGATATTGTGGAAATTTCAGAACCTGCCAACAATGTGCTGCTATATTAATCAGCTGTTGCTATTTTAAACAGCTCACCTGTGATGTGGACTATAAAAGCTAAGTTAACATTAAGGTGTGTATCAATGCATCTGAAAAAAAAAAAAAACCCTATGCATTGATCACAGAATTTAATAATAAAGATTATCATTACTGCATTCAAACTAAACAAAGCAGTGTAAAATAACAAGAATCTCCACATATGGTCCAATGTAGAAATATTACCACTTGATGAGGAACATGAGCTCTCCTTGTTGGTCTGTGCATCCGATGATGCCGTCTGGTTCTGGGCTGCTGGATTGGCCTGCTGGGATCTCAGCGTTGTGATCATCAACGTCTTCATTACCCCTCTCAATGAGCTCCTCCTGAGGCTGCTGGTGAGCCTGCATGAATTCCAGACACAACTAAACTATCATAAAGCCTGACAAGAGGACTAAATTATATATCACACAGCAAGAGCGATAAACCTGCAGATTTGGAGAGGGTGTACAGGACTAAAACTCTGTACCAATGGTGTACGATCCTGCTCCTGGAGGACCAGCCTTCTGTAGAGTTTAGCTCCACCTTCTCCAACAAACCTGAAGACCTTGATTAGCTGGTTTAGGTGTGTTTAATTAGGGCTAAACTCTGTGGAAACTGGTCTTGCAGAAGCATGATTGGTCCCCATTGCTCTATACCAGTGGTTCCCAACCCTGGTCCTGGAGGCACCCCAACCCTGCACATTTTGCATGTCTCCTTTCTCTCACACACCAGTTTCAGGTCTTGGAGTCTCTACTAATGAGCTGATGACCTGAATCAGGTGTGTTTGATTAAGGAGACATGCAAAACATGCAGTGTTGGGGTGCCTCCAGGACCAGGGTTGGGAACCACTGCTCTATACAATGCACTGACAGTTAGTCATATTAAGGCAAGTATTTGGCAGTTTGTTACCTAACACAATTAAATTTATTGATGTATTTTTGGGGTATAAAATGCTTATTTTAAAACACTGTAGTGCAGTAATATTCCTGTAGAAGTGAAAGTGAATGGCACAGCATATATACAGTATATAAAAACACTAACCGTATCGGCATCCAGTTCAGTTAACTCTTGCTTGGACTGGACCTCATGGTCTAGGGATTGTTCCGTCTCTCCTGAGACAGTGAGGTTTCTGAGAAACTCCTCTATCAGCTCAGGACAGTCCATGTTGTCCTCTGGCTCCCAGGTATTCTCTACACTGTGGAAAGTACGACAGATATGTCATATGCTGGTACATATTAATAATATAAATATCTGACACACAGGCAACATTTGTTCCAGACGCTCACTCTGTGAAGCCTTTCCACTTGAGATAGTATTCAACTTTTCCATCGTTGACTCTTCTGCGGATGATTTTTTCCACCGCAAACTCTTGGACAACCGTAGTCTCTTCTGCCTTCCTGTTTTTCACATTCTGCTTTTTCCTCATGATTTCCTAGAACAACACTACACAAAGGTACAGTATTTCATAGTATAATATGAAGCATTTGTTATTTTTAGCAGACATATAATAATGTTTATTACATTAGACATGTTTATAAACGTTAACATGCGAGAATTGTATATAAAAGGACTTTTTAAGGAAAGTAGTCAGTGCGAGGATTTAGAGTCTTTGATATTCTGGGCCTTTTTAGAGCAAAAACTATCACATTATACAAAACTTACATTATGCATTGAAAAAAAACCAAAAACCGTTCTACACTGAATTCGGAGAAATTATGCATGACGTATCATTTCCCACGAACTAAACTTTCTCAGTCACGGACCGAGCAGGCTAACGTTATGAATGATTGTTGTATTAAATGCTATTCTTTCTACGCCACTGATGTGAATTTGATAAGTGCCCACCTGCCGATGCCTCACGCGCTATTCTTTATTCCCACTGCTGCTGATTAATGCTCAGTCTGTACAAACAACGCGGCGGTGCATCCTTACTATTTAGCTTTCGAGATCATGGCTTTACTGTTGTGTGTACAACTTTTCATGAATGAGTCAAATTAAACATGGCCGATTGGGAGAAGGGGAGGAAGTGGTTTCAAAGGGAAGAGGTCAGTTCAGGAAAGCCAGAGGAGGAATCCTTAAAGGCGCATCCCGAGAGCAAGACACGGCTGAATTTCTCTGCGCACACAGACGTTTTTAGCGCAGAACGCGTTCGGATGTGTTAGCCTTCACTGTACGGAATTGCTAGTAGCTAACAATATACGTTATTTGTAATAATTTGCATTCACGTTGGTAACCTTTTTGTTTGCCGTTTTTGACGGCAGCTTTTTGTAATAATAAAAACAACCCGTTAGTGATTTATTGTATATAGAAACTTCTTTAGCGTCTCGGTTTAGGAAAGATAGACAGGGAAAATGCTTGCATGTTGTGTTGATGTTACAAATGTAATACTGTTGAAGGACACCGGAGGGCGCAAGCGCCACTCATTTTGTGCATCTCCTGGATAAACCCGGATAAACAGCTCGAGTTCAGTGATCCAGGTTTATCGGTGTCAAATAATGGTAGACCCATTAAATTATTCTTAAACGATTTTTAGTTTCGAATTAAAAACCACCTTTAGGCCAAAAGTATATTTTCTCTTGTTTTTATTGTAAAACTCTTATTGTAAAAAAAAAAAAAAATTATTATTAATCATCATCATCATCATCATCATCCTTTAAATTCTCTGCACAGTGTCTGGTTTAAGCTCTAATTATTGTAGCCTAAATTATTATAAGGAGTATTAATGTGGATCTTTAGACCCACGTTTTAAGGATGATGGACAAACCAGTTCTTTACTTTACTTTTAGTCATTTAGCAGACGCTTTTATCCAAAGCGACTTACAAATAAGAAAAAGTAATTCAAACTAAAAGCTAAAACTCTATAAATACTATATATATATATACACACATTTAAGAAAAGAAAATAAATTAAATAAAAATGACAAATGCATACAGCAACATTTCAATTGAATGAAAACAAAAAAATAAAGCTAAAAACAATTCAAAA